TCATAAGCATCTTCCCATTTGTGTGTTTGCAAGTTCTTTCATCAATTTTTTTATTTTTCAGTGTAAAAGTTTTTCACTTCTTTAGTGAAATTCCACTATTATTACCACTATTTCCCTCCATTTCACTGAAGCCTCATTTATCCTAACCCATATTAGTGCACTTTTGAGGATTTTCTGGATGTAAATGATTATAGCTGCATCTTTTTCCTCTTGCTTTGCAACTTGTTCTTATTCCATATCACTGGCATCAGTTTGAACAACAAATTAAGCATATTAAAAGTATGCCAATAATCCAGTTGGAATACAGAATAGGAAGATTTAACTCACAATTAGATAAGGATTATACAATATTTAGGTAAAAAACTGGCTAATGCCATGTTGTGGGGAACCACCCAGACTGCTTCAAAGCTCAGGGGTGTCTAAGGACACCTGAGGACATGACCCCACTTGTCTAGCACAGGCACATAGTGGGATGCAGTTATGTAACAGTGACTTAGCACAGGTAAACATGTGCTGGTTACAGCACTATACAAGAATGTAAATATGAGATAACAACTTGTACAAGAATTATACAGTAAAGATGCAGGTGGCTCTCTTGCTCTGTTGCCCTTGTACTCTGGCTCTCTGCTCTGCTCCATGCTGCCTACTGCTATTGTTGATGTCTTGCAAACATGTGTTCTTTAACCTTGGGACCTTACCTTTGAAAATCTCTCTTGGGCCTCCTGAGTGGGCTGACACATGTATTTATGGCTGAGGCTCCTAAAATAATATATAGAAATCACCAGTGACCTCTATCTATATTGCTAAATCTGAACTGTATTTCTCCACCTTTATCCTAGCTTTCTTCTATCAACTTTTGATTTTTCAATTTCAAAATACACAAAGACAGAAAGAACATTACAAATAACCCCATGTTCCCTTCACCCAGATTCATACTGTTGTTGTATTAATTCACCACATGTGCACACATGTGACACAGTGTTTATTCTGTACCATTTGAGAGTAAGTTGCAGATATTTTCCCCTCTTCCTCTTAAATCGTGCCTAAGAATAAGCAGATTGCCCTACATAGCCATGATGCAATTTTAAAAATCAGGAAGTTTAACATTGATATAACACTATTATCCAATGGCTATTATTCAAAATCTGCAAGTAATGTCCTTTATAGTATTTTTTTCCTGACCCAGGATCAAATCCAGCATGTACTACCTTTAGCTTTTATATTTCTTTAGTGTCCTGTAATTTTGAACAGTTCTCTAACCTCTTCTTGTTCATCATGATATTGACATTTTTTAATTGTGTGACCAGCTATTTTGAAGAAGATATCTCTAACTGTGCTCATGTGCTGCCACTTTGTGGCTATTTTCAATTCATACATGAGGGGGCAGTGGTACATGATGGTTAATCCTGATTGACAATTTGATTAGCTTGGCAGCTGCCTAGAGGATTAGTAAAGCATGCTTCTGAGTGTATCTGGGTGGTGTCCACCTTCGTTGCCATATCTGATCCCTGGCCCCTTCCTCTCGGGCACTCTTCCCCTGTGCATTGTTTCCCCGCTGTCATGAAGTGAGCACTTTTACCTTGATATGCCCTTTCACCATGATGTTTCTGCCTTGGAACCACCCAACCATGGACTGAAACCTCTGAAACCATAAGCCAAAATAAATCTTGACTCCTTTAAGTTGTGGGTATTGAGTATTTTGTCCTAACGAGAGGAAATCTTAGCATTACAGCATGCCATAAGGAATTCTTTATCCTTCTCGCTACATCACATTAGGAGCAACACGATATCAGTTTAATTACTGGGTAACATTACTTTTGTATACTTGGTTACTGTGTCGTCTCTTCAAGCTAATGTCTGTGTTCTTTAGGTACCATTCTATTATTATTTTTTTAGCATTTTCTTGTTCAACAAGATATTCCAGACTTAGAAATTTACCCTGTTGCAGTTCAAGAGTCAATCATTTTTCCAAAAAGCGTGGGTTTCTTTCAGTGGGGAATAATTTTAGAACTCAAAATCTGGTAGCTTAATGTGTTCATTGCTATGAGGATGCCAGAGTTTCTTGGGTTCCTTTGTAAATTCATTGTGATACCTTTGGCTCCAGTTCCACAATCTGAAACCAGTTGTTCTTTTTTTTTTTTTTTTCTCTCTTCCATGTTTGTTTCACCCTAGTCCAGCACAGATTACCAGGCTTCTAAAAGCATTGAACTTCCCTGCTAAAATACTTGTTTTGTCTCTGTTGTACCACTCTTTACAGATTCTCCCCAATCTGAAACCTGTTTCTTCTTTCATTGATCTCTCCTTCTCAGTCTGGCCTTTAAATACATCAGTTAGTGATTTGGATTTTTTGCCAGTTAGTGGCAAAAGTGCCATCCAAATACATCTTTGACTCCTTGCCCTCTCTTATGTATGTTGCACAATATATGGGTCCCTTACTCACCTTTAAATGGGCATTTCACATATTGATAACTGTAGTCCTGACCTCTTCTCCAAACTGGAGACTCATTGATAATTTGCCACCTCAATTTAGGAGTTAAAGTTGATATGCTCTTGACTTTCTATTTCATTCACACATCTGCTCCATTCTTCTTCCATGTTTCAGGAAAAGGCAGCACTGTCCACCCAGCTTTTGAAATGAAAACAGGTATTTTCCCTTTTTATTTGTTCTCCTCACTACTTTCACTCCCCTTCAAGTACCATGAATGTTTCCTCCAAGATGTATCTCTGATTTTCCACTTCTTCAACCACCTCCACTGATATCTCCCAAGTCTAAGTCACTCGCCTCCTTTCCTGGATTCACACAATAGTTTCCCATATGGCTAGTGGCTTCAAAATCCAAATCACTAATCTGGGCATGATGGTGTGCACCTAAATCCCAGCATTCAGGAGACTGAAGAAAGAAAACCAGCAAGTTCAAGCCCAGCCTGGGCAACTTAGCAATTTAGCAAGACCCTGTCTTTTTCAAAATTTCAAAAACCAGTACAAAGGACTGGGGTTATAATTCAGTATGTAGGCCCTGGATTCAATCCATGGTATTGGCAAAAAATCCAAATCACTAACTGAGACTTAATGAAACCTTCTACAATCTAGCTCTTCCTCCAAACCTATCCCATACCTGTCTTGTTCTTATGCTGGCTAGTTTTGACGTCTTTTAAAGCTTACTATTCTTCCGTGTTCCCCTCATACTGGACCTTGCTCTTTCGCTGCTTGCAGTCTTTCTCCAGATCATATCATCTTGGAAATGATCCACTCTTGTTTTCGGGCTTCCCTGACTCCTCCATGACTACCCTTTCTGAAGTTGCTTCCACACATCATTCCATTTTATTCACAGCTCTTAGCTCACTCCGAGCTCATGCTTCTTTGTACGTTTACTACTTGTCTTCTTAACTCAAAAGTAGACTCCTTAAAGGCAGGAACAAGAACCCTCTTGTTGTTTATCCTTGTGTCCTCAACACCTGCTTCCCATACTGCATGACCCATCATAAGTGCTCAAGAAATGTGTGGAATAAATGAATCAGGAGAGCCTGGTTAGCACCGTGCAGGATCACATTATGATCTCAACCATCGATACTGCTCATGGCTCTGTCAGGATATGGAAGTTAATTAGCATCTGACACTATCAGATATCTGGACCATCTAAATAGTTTTCCATAATTCTGATTCAAAGAGATATGATTGCAGTTTGTTGTCCATGTAGCTTGTATAGGAAATGAACGCATTGAGGGAGGAATGAAGCATTGATGCCTCTGGTGTTTTTACTTTACATCCAAGCTTGATAAATTGGCGTTCTTATTCTACCATTAAACTTGGTTTCTTGGTTATGTAAGAGACATTAATGGGACAGATCATGAAGGGATTTTGAGGTCACTTTAAAATCTTTATAACAGAGAGTCCCCACACTGCAGGCTTTTAAATATAGTTGAGATGTAACTTGATTGACATGTGGAAAGAAAATATTTTTTAGCTCTTGTCCTAAAAATGGTCTGTAAACAGTTACATATAAAAGAAATAATCCAAGCACTTGGAAGTCTGAGGTGGGATGGTCATAAGTTGAAGGCCAGCCTAGGTTACATAGCAATTTCAAGGCTGGCCTGGGCTCTATAGAGACACCCTGTCTCAAAAACCAAACTAAATCAGACCAAACCCGACCAAATCAAACCAACAAGGGAGACCAATTAGGAGGTCCTGCAGTAATCTAGGAGAGAGGTATAGAGGCTTGCTCACTAAGGTCATCCTGCAGACTGGCTTCTGGTAAATACAGAATCATGTTTTGAAGGTAGAACCAACAGGATATTCTGCAAGTGGGTGTTTAATGTGAGAGAAATAGAAGTCAAAGATGACTCCAAGGGTTTTGGTTTGAGCAAATGAAAGGATGAAGTTCCTCTCTAATGAGATACTGTGAGAGGAGCAGGTTTGGAGTGAGAGGTGTCCGAATTAATAGATAAGGTTGAAACCTAATCATTGACATGAGGCTTCAGGAGGTGAGGCCTTTGAGAGGGGTGAGTGACCTTATAAGGGGCCTCAGAGAGTTGCCTCGCCCATTCCTTTATGTGAGGACATAGTGAGAAGGGATCATTTATAAACTGAGAGAAGGGTCCTCACCATCATTGAATTTGTTGGCACCTGGATCTTAGACTTCCTGGCCTCCAGAACTGTGAGGAAAAATTCCTATGGTTTTTGTTTTTTGTTTTTGAGACAGGGTCTTACTGTGTAGTCCAGGCTGGCCTTGAGTTCACTATGTAGCCCAGGCTGACCTCAAACTTGTGGTGATCCTCCCGAGTCAGCCTCCCGAGTGCTGGGATTTCAGGCATGTGCCACCACACCTGGCCTTCTATGGTTTTAAAACCACCTAGTTTAAGGTATTTTGTTATGGCAACCTGAAAAGATCAAGATGTATCTCAAATGTTGCTGATAAGAAGCCATGAAGACCAAATTAGTCTATTTTCTGTAGTATAAGAAGATACCCAAGGATTATAGTTTATAAAAGGAAAACAGGTTTATTTAGTGCAGAGTTTTGGAGGCTGAAAGTCCAAATAACATGGTGCCAGCTCTGGCTAGATCTCCCCTGGCTATATCACATCCTTCTGGAGAGCACTGTGGCAGGAGGCTATGCAGGAGAGAGAGATTACACAGCAAGACAGGAAGCCAGAGAGGAAGACCAGTTTTGCTCTTTTTATAACAGCTCTCTGGGGAGAATTAACCCCGAGCTCCATGAGAACTCCCCTTACCCTTTCTGGGGACAGGATCCCCAACTGACCTCTCAATGGTTTCCTCCTATTAAAAGTCTCACCACCTCTTCACATTGCCACTCCAGGACACAGGCTCTAACCCACGAATCTTGGAGGAAAAAGTCACATCCAAACTATAGCAAAGACTCAGAGCTCTTCACAAAGATTTTGTAACCATGGCGCTAATTCTGGGTGTGGAAGAAAAACCTATTTGGCATTACTTGAATGTGACCCCTACATGTTGTTCTTGAGCAGCATGCCAGGATGTGTGGCCTCTTTCCTAGAGACAGGAAGAACACCTACAAGGAGGGAGGAGGAGACTGTGTGAGCTATGCAAAACCCTGGATTGTGGCCTCCGTATAAAAATCACATTCTTTGTACCAGAGAAATGAGAGATTTGTGATTAGATATCTCTGTGGGTTCAAAACTTCTGCCCAGAATATATTAATATGTGAGGCAGAGCAGCTGCTCACTGTTGGGAGGTTTAGCAGTGTGCTTCCAGAAGCTCAGCTGCAGGTCTGGGTAACCTTTCCGTGTCCTCTGCATTCAGTTTTGGGCCAGGAGCATCTCAGCGTTAAAGATGCTCACTTCAAGGCCAGTTAAAGAGCAAATCGAAGTTATATACAACATTGCTTCACCCTTGCACCTGTAGGGAGTAGAGAAAAGAAAAAACTTTTTTACATTCTATTTCTTGGAATCTCATAATTTCCATTTCCATGAACTACAAGGAAAGAAATAATAATTTGGCCAAGAGAGAAAAGACAACTCCACCGTGCCAGACCCGAGAAGGCTTTTGCGTAACGAGGTTTGTGGGCACTCCAGGCAGGGTGTATGGTACCTGCAAAAGCAAGGAAGTGGCAGACCTGGCCTTTACAAGACATGGGTGCACTAGTCTCACTGGTGTTAGGATTCTTTAAGTAAAATAATTTACTGGTAAACTGGGAAAAGAATTCTGTGGTCAGAAAGTAGAATCCAGATGAAAAGTATCCGGAGTGTAATTGTGGGTAAGATGAATTAGGGTGGCTGACTTAGGAGGTAACTACCCATCACCCAGGGTAGGGGTTGCCGAAGTGTGGCCCCCAGCCCAGCAGGAGAAGCGATGTCTGGCAACGCTTCAGAAATGCAAACTCTGCCTATTGAGAATTTGCATTCATCCTACTGAGTCATAAATTCCTGGTATTTTAAACTTCACAATTTGTTTAAACAGATGACTGTGAGTCATACTAGTGTCAAAGAGCCACTGGCCTGGGATTGAAGGAGGCTGATGGTATTTACTAGCTCGAAATGATAGGAATATTAAAATGTCAGCCAATATAGGTTTTGAACCTGAGTGGAAAAAGTAAATTGTTTAAATTGCCTAAATATATTTATCAATTCCCCTAAAACAAATAACTAGAAATATTTCCCTATCAAGTTATGCAGCAGATATTGGCCATACACACACACACACACACACACACACACACACACATACATACAGTAAAACTTTGGGTTACAAATAACTTGTTCAGTGAGGATTCTCCAGGATGATCAAATATTTTTCATGAACTTTAACTTGATAAATGAGCAATGTCTTGCAATATGAGTGGTACATGATGCTGAACATCACATGATCACAACTGAGCCAATGATTCATTCTCTCTCTCCCCCTCTATCTGCCATTGTGAGATTATGGGAGATCATCTGTCAACAGCAAGAGGTTATAGGGGAGATCTCATCTGCAGAGCAGAAAAGGAGACAGAGGAATCCGTCATTTCAAATGAGATTAGGGAGATGTGTAAAATGTTGGGGAAACAGTGCAAAATTTTGTAGAAAAACACCATCCAAATAAGTCTGTGGCTGTCAGAACAATGAATCTGTTTAACAATAATGCAGTGCCACATTTCTATGAAATCCTCAAAAGGAGGCAAAAGCAAGTATCGTTGGATAGGTGCCTTGCTAATGTTGCACAAAAAGAAAAAGATTTCATTAAGCCAATAGACACCAGTGATTCTGTTAGTGATTGTGAAAGTCATCCTACATCATAACCCCCACCTCTTGTCTCCCTCACTTTTTCCACTTACTTTTCCACTGTACTTTACTTTTTTTACTTTACTTTACTTTACTTTTCCACTTACTTCTACCTTACTTTTTCCACTCAGATTCGAAACCTACATTGGCTGATATTTTAATATTCTTATCACCAAAGTTTTCAAAGGTTAGTTCAGGTTAATTTATTTTTCTTTATATTTTGTGTTTTACTATTTTGTATTATATTATAGTATTGTAATCATTTTTATATGAATATTTTTAATACTTTTGCATTATGGAATGAATCATCTGTGCTTCCGTTATTTATTATGGGGAAATTTGCTTCAATATACAACTGCTTTGTAGTACAAGCATGTTTCCAGAATAAATTGTGCTCACAAACCAAGGTTTACTATCTATCTATCATCCATCTATGTACAGTGTCTGTAAGTAACAAAAACCATAACTAACAGGAGTTTTAACTATAGAGTTATTATTTTTTATTTTAAAGAGAGAAAAAACAATAAAAATGATAATTTCAAAACAAGAGAAATGCAAACTAAAACAACACTGAGATTCCATCTAACTCCAGAAAGAATAGCTAGCATTAAAAAAATCAACCAATATCAAATGCTGGCGGGGCTGTGGGGAAAAAGGAACCTTCTCTACTGTTGGTGGGAGTGTAGACTGGTGCAATCACTGTGGAAATCAGTATGCAGATTCCTCTAAAAACTAGGACTAGGAGGTGAGGGAGATGGGGGCTGCAATGGCGGCTGCATGTGGCGCAGGCCCGGCCATCCTGCAAGTGGCCGGCCTCCACCGAAGCCTCTGCTCGGTGCTCAGTCGGACCCTGGGCCCTGGGGTTTGTTTCACCAGCACAGCTGCGCATGTTCCCAGTGCATGGCGGCTCAGGCCAGCCCTTGGGGAGCGCGGACCGCAGTGCGTCAGGGCAGAGCTGGAGGTCAACCCCTTCTACCACCACTACCAGGACAAGATCCAGCAACTGCGCAGGTCCAACACAGCCGCTTTTGAGTTGCAGTGAGTTTCAGAAGCAGCCAGTGGAGTATTCTAGGCGAGATGATTTCATCAAATGTGTGGAGCAAAAGACAGACGCCTTGGAGAAACAGCCTATGAGCAAAGGATTCACTGAGAACAAGACTCTCAGTTGAATCTTTAACATTGAGATGGTGAAAGACAAAACTACAGAAGAAATAAAACAGATTTGGCAGCAGTATTTTGCTGCAAAAGGTACAGTCTACACAGCCATTCCTAAAGAAGTTTGATTTGATCTGGAATGGGGTCAGTCCTGTCCAGCAACCTGAGGTGATGCCACAGCCAGCCAGTTGACTTTATGTCACTACCCTGAACTTAAGGAAGGAAAGGGCATAGTGATGATGACAGCAGAAATGGATTCCACATTTCTGAATGTTACTGAGGCACGGTGCATCGCCAATCAATTCAGCTCTTCTATGCCACTGATCGTAAAGAGACCCATGAGTTAATGGAGACATTTAACTTCAGACCAAATGAATTCAAATATATGTCTGTCATCGTTGAGTTGGAGCAAAGTAGACTTGGAGCAGAACTGAAATGTACCCAGAACCAGGATAAGACTTAGAACTATACAAGCTGGCCCTTCACAGAGTCAGCTCCACCTAGATAGTATAAGAAACCCACCACCTCCACTCCAAACTCAAGAGCTCAGCACCTACACTAAGCAGTCTGTAAAGAGTTGTCCTATGTGTTTATGGCAAGAAGTGATCATGGAGATGAGCCTTAATACTTGACGTTCAGGAATGAAGGTACTCACATGTTCTAATAATACTTGAGGTATTTTTTTAAATGTTTCTGGTCAAGGGGAAGCCAGGGATCTGCATGATAGTTCATTTGATTTTATATAATATAACAGTGCAGTTGCATTTTAGCTATTGTGACTGCATAGCTTCCAGTTCTACATCTTCATGAGCTTGAGACAGGATAATAAGTTTGAAGACCTGCCGTAGTTAGATGTGAGCTTTATGTAATCTTCCCAGATGCCGGTCAACTGGCCAAAGGCATAATCGTAATATCTTGTTTAGATTCTAAAACAAGAAGATATTCCCACAGGATAAAGACTTCATCTAGATGCCCACCCCCATAGTTATTATCTTTAGTGCAGCTGGTTTGTGGTGTTCACAAATTTCAGATATCATTGTATTAACAGGTGCAGTGCCTAAATATTGTTAAACTATAGATTATGGCATCAGCTCCTCTAACTCTGCCTGTTAGAGGCTGTGTGTTGGGAGGAAGTAAATCAGCACAGTGTAAATAAAATGTTTTTCTAAGGAAAAGATCATTTCAAATTTGCATGATTTTTTTCTTAAACCAACCCTAAGCATTATATGAAAAAGGAGGTGGGAGTACGTATTCTCAGATTGTGGGGGAAAATGTAGCAATAAAGTAAAATTTGGCTTATAGTCTTTGTTATACAAAATAGTGGAATCTAAGTTTTGTACTGTCCATAGTTTTGGTGCTATGGGCTGATTTTAGCAAACTCATCTTGGAACATAGCAATTTCTTGAGACACCAGGAGTAAGAAAAGTTGTTTTCCAGCACTAAAAGCCCATGTGCAGGTTGTAGTAGCTCCTGGCTCGGTGATAGAAGAAGGTGATGGTTACACACCTGCCTTCTGAACTTGAGGCTCCAAGCACCCTCAGTGCTGTTATCAGCCACCTATGCTATGCCTTTCCTTTTCTTAATCTAATGTGTACTTTTATCTGCAGCCCCTACCTAAGATCTGATTGGATGGCAAAATATGGTGAGCAGAAATTTAAGCGGCATTTGGTCTGTATGCTTGTCTACATGCACATGCACATGTGTGTATGTATTTTCTTTATTATGTAAGTCTTTTTATAAGTTGGGCCTGTCCTCCAAGCTTTTTGTTGTTGTTATTGTTTTTTGAGATAAGGTCTCCCTGTTTAGTTCAGGGGGCCCTTGAACTCATGGCAATCCTCCTGCTGCAGCCCAAATGCTGGGATTATAAGTGTGCATCACCATGCCCAGCTTACCAAGCTTTTTAAATAGTATTGGACTTCCCAGTATTTTCTGAGCAGCCTATTTCTGTTGTGTGTCTGAGTCAGTGTATAGAGAGATAGATAGTGTTTGTTTCATTTGGAGAAGCTGCTGCCCCTGTCATAATTTCCCTAAAGGCTGAGCTTTTCCTAATGCAAATTCTGAATCTGCCACTCGTTCTGGCAGTTTATCTTCTGAGAAACTTGAGTTTTATCAGCCCTGCCATTTTCCTTGAATGCCCTCTGACCTTCTGGTTGTTTTGCAATCCAGAAATCATAGACAGCAGTTGGGGTTGCACTCATGAGTATCCAATTATGTTTGTGCTTCCCTGCAGATGGACCCAGTTTTAACCATAGGATATTTTCATAACACCTCCACCACAGGGTGAGAAAATGATGGAAAAAGAAGTGAAAAGTGGCCACTTGTTTTATAGTTCCAGCTTTGCCCTCAATCCCAGCTTGCCAAAGAAGAATGTATCACCTCCATGGGTAATTAATTACATTGGATATGACTGTAGTACCATCTGGCTGTTCTTTATATTTATCTAGAGAGAGTGAGCAAAGAACTAAAAGAAAACTATGATAT